ACGCAATTGGTGGAAATTCAAGCGTTTTATTAGTTCAGCGAAAATTATTGGTAAGGCATATTTTTCACACATTTTGTGGTGCATCGGAGAGCACGAATAGAATAGAATTATGGGAATTTAACATTCTATTGTGAATGGTCGACTATATTTACTGTATTTTGCTCAAATAAGTTAGTAAATGCACCGCTGGAGGTGAAAGGAAGTCTGAAAGGCGTAAAGCAATCTATCGTGTAATTAACTTTATTTAACATACGCAGAAATTAGAAACCTTGTTGAACTATTGAAAATGTACAGGGTGAGTCTTGAGTCAACGATTGCGCGGAGTAACTTAATGCCTTGAAGATAAGATTTTTCGATAGAGTGCTTTTGTATTATGATATGGTTGAATATTCTCCACATTTTAAAAATATTTGGAATTATACAGGGTGCGCGCACAAAGTAGGGCTCCAAAATGGTACATTTTTTTAAATAGAACTCCCCGTGTTTTAATGCATTTTTGAATTCTACGTGTAATTGTACGTCTTTTTTATTATATGGTTAATATCCGAAAAGCTAGTAGTTTTAGAGATAATTCGATTTTTAAGAAAAATTGGGCATTTGCAAGCGTCAGTATACATATATTGTCAAAATTATTACTTAAATTTTGTTTCCAGGTTTTATATCTTTTATCCTGGGTTAAGTAAAAGTCAAATAAATACATCTACTATGAAACATTAAAAATATAGCTTACAGGGTGTTTTTTTTGTAGGTCCAAAGTAAAAATCTCACTTTTTTTAAGTGGAACACACTGTATATTTTTCTGTCATCATTTAGCTCCTTCAACTTTTGATAATAATGTCCTATACCACTATTAAAATTAATTGGAACAAAGTGAGCTATTTTAACAGCAATACAATAAACAAATGTTTTACACTACCTTCTAAAAACTTTTCCTCCTAGAGTCGCATCAATGTCTGGATTCTGGAACCCCTTAGGTTCGTGATAGATTTTCCTTACGTTTCGCTCAGATTCGAAGAGATCTCCTTATCAAAGTAAAACAGATTCAGCTCGGGTGCTTGTTGCCTGAAACGGGATTAAAACACACACTTTGGTTCCTTGGATTTTTTACTCATACATTACTTTTCACTCAAATCCCATACGTACATAAAATTCGAAAAAATTTAACATGCAAAGCGACCTCCCGTTACGCGGTCCTTGAATTTCTTTTCACGGTATCGCAAATGTATATTCCAAATATTTATTAACAGGAGACAAATTTGAGAGCATAGGCCCACAGACGAACCGCACTGTGTGTTGCTTCTAATTCAATTTACTTATCTACTATCATTAGCAATCATTACATTACCGCTCAATGAGTCAATGAGGATGACCTACCTACGCCGCTGTTGGAGAATCCCTGAGGGTACAGACAGACAGGCCGATCATATCATCGAGATTTTGTTTGATTCGGATTCGGAAAAGTGGGGGCAATTTTTTACCCCAATGTAATATCTTCTTTACTAAACGTGCGGATGGTAAACAGGCACAAAATAGGTACAGGATAAATGTTAAAAAGAGGCATTCAATTTCTATTTTTGAGCAGGGTAGGAGCAAAACACTTGTATTGTAAATCCTCACTTGTGAAAGGCGTACTGTTTAATAATTGGATCAAGACAAGTATGCGCTGTTCTCCAATAGCGGCAAAATAGTACATTATATATCAAGGTAGAGAAGTACAGTATTATTGCCTGAGCACCAAGATTACATCTCGAGGCGCTTGCGCCGAGGGGTGTAAGGTGCGAAGGTAATAATAGACTTCTCTACCGTGGTATATATACTATTTTTTTCACTACTAGCACTTGAAATCCTCGAAATTAACATATTATATTGATAAGAAAATGAACGGTTGGACAGAATTTTTTGTTTATTAATTTAACATGTCAATCAAGTACGTAGAAGTACAAGTCAAACAGGCCGTATTTTGTTCTGTCATTGAGATATTTTCAAAGAGTAATTTCGTTCGAATTTTTTCAAAATGTGATAATTTTAGGTATGTAATTTCTCTGGAAATGGCGGATGGTGGCAATTATTCATTTTAGAGAACTTGTCCAAACGTTTATTGAGCGAAATTTCGGGTTGTGTTTTCTAAAGGTGACAGCGTGACAATTCTCATTATTGACTACTATAGTTAATAATGTCCACATTATTAACCACTTTGAACAATTGCCGAGAAAGCCTACTTTACAAGTGGAAAAAAGGTTAATAATCATGTCACCAGACGCTAGTAGTGAAAAAACGAACTTTAAAAGTGACCCCAACCATCCCTCCCTACACTCCGTTTTTGAGATATTCATCTTTAAAATTTTGACCCTGTTGAAAGTTTCCTTTGTAAATACCCTCTTTCGACACTTGGTTACAGTTCTCGAGATATGAGGATGTATAAGCGATCTCTCTTGTAGAAGTTATATCTTTCTCTGAGATTTGTCATTAGAGTACCGTGAAGGATAGAACCGTGCCCTCCCCCGCGTATTATATACAGAAGTCATTAACAAGTTTAAGTAGTTTAATGGGCTAGGGATCCCCATTAAATTCGACCAGGCTTTTTGGAATCAATTTAACAATACCCAATTAGTAGTAATGAGGCTTTAAGATAAAAAGCTGACGGGTGGGCGGATATTACGATCCCATGAAGTGGGCTCACTCTAAACCTTTCACTGATTGCAAATTTCCTGCTCGCTCCTCGCTGCTAATAGTATAAGTTTATCCACTCTTATTAATGCAGCTGTTTTCCCTTCATCCCGTACAATTCACTGCTGCCACAAATCAAAATCCCCATGGTTATAAAAGAAGCTGGAGTACCTGTAAGTACAATATTCAAAATTATACACGGAGATTTGGGAATGCGCGAGAGTAGTTAGCCTCCTGCCAACAAAAAAAAGAAAAAAAAACCAGTCTTTGCTTCTAAGGTCGACTAGGCAGCACACCCATGGCCCATGGTTCCTCTTAATACAGGATAGGACCCTGCTTAGTCTAAGTTGTTTCATCCTCCTCGACTCCAGATAACTGTCTGTCTGTCTCTGATCAAGGCGTCACAGTGACAGACCAACATGCTCGGTAGTTTCAACTGCCTCGCCACAGAACTTGCACATGGGTTCTCCTACAAGCTCATTGTCGTGGAGGTGATATTTGACCATGCATTGCCTCGTGAGGAGGCTTTGGACTGGGAGTCCAGTTGTTCGTTGTCACTGAGCCCGGACTTAACTAGTCACCCAGACCAATTCCTTGGGCAGGCTTGGGCTCGACGAAAACCTGCCAACGAACTCGTCCGCCCTTTCGTTGTACCCCATTCCAGAGTCCCCTAGCACCTAGAGTAAGCTTACTCTATTAGACTCGCATGAAATTAAGCGCTGTAGTCGCTCGGAACCTGCTGGGTGACACGGGCCCTCAGTGCCACCAATATCCATGTCCAAACCAGGGAGCCTTGCTACCGCAGTTGAACTGCAACTTCACTGCGCCACACGGGCACATAGGGATGCAGTGGCCTTTTGCCTTATCCTCTCAATGTGCACTTTCCAGGTCAGACGGGCGTCTTTGATGATTCCTAAATAGTTCACTGACCTGGTCCGGCCCTGTTGACGTTCTCGTAGAGTGAGCTCAGTCCGCTCTCCTTCGATTCATGAATGGAACAACCTCGGTCTTTTCCGTGTTAACCGAAAGAGCATGGTTACTGCACCTGTTTAAGAGCTCTATGCATAAGCTCTAGGAAACTTTCTAGTTATGACGATCGTATCTCTGTGTACACGCTCATTCCTTGTTGAAGAGGCGGAGGAGCCCGTTAAGCGCCAGGCACTACAGCAGACAATACTCCACCCTGCGGTGACCGAGAAGCTCATCTTCGTCGTTACAATTGAGGATATAATGACCCTACTTCCGAGAATGACGCGGATCCATCTCATGTTTGATCCAGACATGTATCTACAACGCCTCGGTGTCCACACTTTCAAAAGGATCTTACGAAATGTTAGGAATTTCGGGAGACTCTCCATGGCTTTCGCTTGGAAAATTAATGGCGACGATCTTTTGGAATTATGAGTTTTGTCTTGGTACTGGTGAGGTTTATGGAAACACGGTTGAACGCTTGAAGAAAGCAAGACGACCGAACGCATAGCGAATAAAAATTGTGCTGTTGCTCGGCCATTTCAGGGCCCACAAGACTCGTCATTTCAACCTATCATCGCCAACAGTGTGTCGTGTCCTTCATCACAAAATCACCGTATCCACCCTACAGCCCAGATTTAGTATCATGCAACTTCTTTTTGTTCAAACACCTAAAAAAAACAGAGGCCACAAATTTGCCTTAGATGATGATCTGAAAGGCGCAGTAGCGTCGTTTTTTGAAGCTCAAACAAATGGAATACAGTTTTTGTGAATGTATCTGGGAGTGACCTAGCGCTTTCCCTTTGTAAGTAACACTTCCGACATTCATGTTATCGAGATATACCTACGTATTTGAAGTTCTGACCTCACTCACTAACAGAAAAGTCGAGTCGTAAACTATCATTATCCCTTTGCGAGTACTCACTCCGGTCGCGAGATATTCACATTTTTGAAGTTTTAATTAACCATCACAGAAAGGGATTTTCTTTCTTTCGAAAAATAAATGCGTTTGTTATAACAATCGAGACGGATAGCCTCCCTCGTTCTGTAGCGACCACCTAGTTCCTATTGGGTTGCCTTGGAATTACATCACAACTCCTTTAAATTCATTGTGAGAAAATTCTGAAACTTTTGAAAATGTGTTAGTGCATTTGAGTGAATCTTTGAATTTCTATGAAAAATTCTTGGATTTGCCGGGTTCACATTTTTTGATAAAAATGAATACAAACAATTATAGAAGCGACCTAAACTCTGCGAATACTAAAAAAGTGAATTCAAATGTTCAAATCACAGAGAAGGGCAGTCATTGCAGCTTTCAACAGGCAATATCCCATATTTGGAGAAATGAAACCAGAAATTCTCGTGTAAATTCCATGTTATCAATTTATCATAAACTAATGTGCTGCACAAAATCTATTGTGATAAACACACTAAACTGTCGGCAAACGTTGTATTGTGAATTTAAACGTCTGAGTGTTAACCTGTTATTTCTGTTAAGGTACGTTTGCAAAGTTTAATCAAGGAAATATGCCTGTTGCCGCTTGTCCCTGCAATCCAAAGAAGGTAGCGGCGAAAATACCACCCAAGCGAAACAAAAAACCGACGAAGCCCACCCAAAAACCTCTCAAGCGAGAAGAAAAACCGAAAAGAAAACCGCCTAAAAAGGTAAGGTCTGTAAACTGTCAATTTTAATTGCATAAAGCTGCGTTTCAGAAGGCACCCGCAAAGAAATTGGCTGCAAGAGCCAAGCAACAACGGAGTTGTTCCTCTTGCAGCTGCTCTGAGTGCTGTATGGATTCTGGAAGTTGCAGTTGTAGCTCCTGCGCAGCGGACGATTCCACTTGCAGTTGCAGTAGCTGTGAAGCCCAAAAATGCAGCCTTAAAAACAAGAGCGCAGGATGCCCTTGTTAAGAAGAGGCGCGTAATTTTTAAACGATTGACTTTGTTATCTTTTTGTAAACTTTTGATTATTTTATATGTGTAATAATGAGATATTTTATGATTAAATAAAGAGAATGTGTAATTTTGTAAAGTAAGCCATTGAAATTTTAACAAGCTGGTTTTATCATTTGGATTGGTGGATGAGATTCAGTAGAGACCCAAAATTCTACCCATTAGGACTGGGTGTGATGACTGAGTTTCCAGGATCTGCCTGATCCCTCACTAGACCCGCAAAATAAACCAACACAATGGAAGAGGATCCCACATTTATTGTTTGTAACCTATTCACCCTAAATTCAAAAGGGTTGGATAAATCAAGTTTCGAGCATCAAGAAGATTTTCACACTGAGGGATAGACTGACGAACGGGCCGTAGGACGATTATCATCCAGTATTCCTTATTCTTTTTGTGCTTGATGTGTATTTGGCAGTTGCATAGATACCTATGTTACAGAATTACACAAATTTGGTTGTTGGGTGGAAGCACAGATAAAATACCCAAAATTTTATCTGTGGTGGAAGTAACCACAGGGACAGGAACAATCCACTACTCCTGACATTAACATGTTGTTTAGGTGTGAAACAGAGAAAGTGTATTCAATTCAGCCACTCTTATTTTATTGTTATTATTATTATCCCTCTCTTTTTCTGGGCCCTCAACAAGCTTGCGCTCAATTACAGAGTGACCGGCATAATGATTTTTAGAAGTGCCTCTGCAGAAGGTCTTAAGTTGTTCTATACTACTCCGGAATTTACCTTCCGAATTTGGAAAACCTAATTCGTAGTAGCAGGCAAATGCTTGAAACTAGTCTAAGCGAGGGTCTAAGGCAATTCCCATCTGCCGCAATTGAAAAATTCACCTCAACCCAGGTTCGAACAGCCGACCTCCGGATTTATAGTCCAACGCTCTACCACTGAACCATAAAGCCGTAACGTAACTCTTCCAAATCTCTACTGGAGTTGTTTTCATATATGCCTTTGTTTCTAAGATACCCCGATAAATCTTTTCCACCAAAATGGATTTACAAAAGGCTTTTTTGATATTTAAAGTCTATAAGGTTCTTGATACGTCTAATAATCTCAAAGTATTTACTTTTAAGGTACCTACTTTAAAAGTTGCCATTTCTCCAATAGCCTCCAAAAGTTTTCCAGAAGCTTTTAATTGCTATTTGCGACCGGGAATATTTAATTGAACGATATTTATGGTTTCAAGCCGTCCCTCTATTTTCCTTATCGGCGGCGCTCCGTTTCTTTTCCTGTGAAGAGTATTCGTTGAACATTAAGCCGGTCGCTTCTTCTTTTAAGGTTTAAAATGTGTGAATTTATTTTATTATACATAAGAGAAATAAAAGTTTGAGGGGAAGATCATCGAGGAGATTCTTGAGGTCACCGAAGCACGTGCAGAATTTCTACCACGATTGACTATTTGTATGGAAAAGTAAACTGGGAGCCCGCAGGAAGGCAGTAGTAAGGTCATAGATACTACCGCAATACCTTGGATGACGTTGAACTCTGTAAAATCCAAAACCGCTGGATTATGATCTAGTAAGGGTAGACGAAACTCACTGACTATCCCCTTACCTCGACATTCCTTTAATTTCAAAAAGTATTTATGATTAGGTGTACCTATATCATGCAAGAGAGAAGCAACCCCACGTACCTACTGCTTTCAAGAATTTTTAAAGATTGTCGAATCTACCTTCCAGTTGAATCTTGTAATGAGTGGTAGCAGAACTTGGTCTGTGAAAGTGGACAAAAGAGTTTTGTCTGAAAGGACCTTTATGTGATTTCTTAAGTCCTTAATAGTCTTAGGTGTCTTGACAAGTCTTTTAGATCGTTACAGCAAACAGTCTTCAATCACCTCAAAAGTTTTTCATAAGGGTATATAAGGTACTGTGAATACTTCCTCTTTTTATGAGTGTTTTGAAAGCCTAACCTGTATGACCCAAGGAGTACAAACGTTTAAAAACTTTTAAGGGCCGATCCTTTGAAGGCAAAAGTGTTCAACCGTCACCAAGAGACCTTTACGACCGTTAACTGTTTTTTGTAGTGTTTGAAGAGCTTTTAAGATCGTTATGGAACTTAGAGCCTGTAAGAGCTTTTAATAGTATTTAAGAGCTCAACTTCTATGAGAGTTGCGATTTTAAGGGTCCATATATGGATCACCTCAATGATTCTCCACGGCCATTGAGCCTTCCCAGTTGTTTTAGAACCACTAAAGTCTTTATTGGTCAATGGTCTTTCGGTGTTTAACAAGTTTTGAGTCTTTAAAAGCCCTTGTAGTTTTTCTGAGACTGTCAGGGAAAACTACTAGGTTTTGAAGAGTCTCTCCGGAGTCTTTTTTCAAGATACATTCAGAATATTTAAGGGCGTTTAGGAGTTTTTAGGACATTGAGATCCATTCGCATGTCAGTTAACGGCAGAGATGGATAGTATAGGTCTAATACTGAAAACCGTTTCCCTAATCCATGATCTATTTATAAAGGCGATGAAAGGAACAAAAGGCTTCAACAAGCTGTAACATGCCAACACGTAAAGAAATTGAGTATCAGAAAAGGACCACCAGAAACATTCTTTTCCAAATAAAACAATATGGTACCAAAGACCTGTAGGTGATGTAGATAGTTTCATCCTTTTATGTGATGTGGTTACTTAAAAAATAATAACAAAAGAAACGACATTTTGGCGCTTGCCGAAAGATTTTGGACCATCGGTTAATTTGGAGAAAATGTTTCTTGTGGTTTCCTATACATAAGCTTATATGTTACACTCTGTATAAATATTCCCAGCACCAAATAGTAACAAACTCATATTTTGAAAATAAAGTACCTACCTACCCTTCTTGATACTTGAAACTGAAAATGATATTCAGTTCGGCTGAGTTGGTTTGTTTAAAATTAAATGTAAGGAAAGCATTTGGGATGGGTCCGGAGAGAAGATCTCCGCGGTACCTACTCGAGCTCGGCCCTGTTTTCCTGTTGGCGATCCCCATCTTGAATATTTCCCATACAAGCAATACTGAATGTTTGCTCCAGAAGAAAATCTAAATCCCACCAAAAAGTATAAAATGCCTTTAACATCTTATGACAACGTACGTGGGTACGGTTTCAAACCCTGCTACCTTATCTGCTATGCTCCAAAGAAGAAAAGTTATAAAAAAGGAGAGGGTCACATTTTTAACAAAATCCTATTTATTATTATCCCTCTCTTGTTCTGGGCCCTCAACAGGCTTGCGCCCAATTACAGAGTGACCCCGCATAAGGCTTTTTTAGAGGTGCCTCTGCAGAAGGTCTTAAGTTGTTCTATACTACTCCGGTACGGTATTTACCTTACGAATTAGGAAAACCCAATTCGGAGTAGCCGGCAGAATGCTCGAAACTGGTCTAAGGTAATTTCCATCTCTGCCACAGATGAAAATTTCACCTCAACCCAGGTTCGAACACCCGACCTCCGGATTTATAGCTCAACGCTCTACCATTGAGCCATAATGATTTCCCAGCTCCTCAAGAAACAGAATAATGGGGAACCCGGAACTCTATCACCTCGTCAACAAATTGGAGTAGGGCGCCTCGATTGAATACCAAATTAGATTGCACGTCAAAACTTCTGACACGACCGACGGTAATAAGACGTTCGAAGGGTTACAGAACGAGCTTCACTTCCTCTTCTACGATGTAGTCGGTCCTCGCTACCTCGTGCCCG